ACGATGACGACGACGACGACGACCACTACTACGACGACGATTAGTACTACTATTGCTGCTGTTGCTGCTGCTACTACTACTACTACTACCACCACCACCACTACTACTACTGTTACCGTCGTCGTCGACGACGACGACGACGACTACTACTACCACCACTACTACTACTACTACTACTACCACCACTACTACTACTGTTACGATTACGACGACGACTACTACTACAACTACTATTACTACTGCTGCTGCTACTTCTACTACTACTACGACGACTACTACTACTAGTGCTTTACTTTTGATTCTTTTTCTGTCAGGTACGAGGAGGCAGAAACGGCCATGGAGAGGCGTGCCTCTGACCCGAGGTGCGAGGGCAACAAGCACTTGCCCGCATCACTTTTTCAGGCTTAGAGTAAGATCGTTTACATGCTTCATGTGAGCTATATAGTCTAAACTCCTTAAAGGCGGTCATATAGGGGATCATATTCGGGGAATGGTATAGGTTTTTTTTAAGGGGGATGCTTGGAGTTTAGACTATAGCTCATGTGTTGGCAGGTCTCTCGATGGCATGCCAAGCTGACATGTTTGGCCAGAGCTTTCAACAGCTGTGCTAGCTGCACCATGTAACAGCTCAACCCACGGCGAAAGGCAAGCCGCTAGAGCGTTGACCTCCCCGCAGCTCCGAGAAGTATCCTTCTTCTGCTTGCTGGGGGTAAGCAGGGAATAAGGGAACATCTTATAGAGGCACTATATGGGACTCTATTTCCTGATTCTCTCCTGACCCCCAGTAAGTTTGTTTCAAGCCTCCCAGGATCAGCAGACTCAGCAGGTCGCCCAGCCAGCCCAGCGGTGGGCTGGAATACGGCGACCAGGCGTGGCTTGATGTGGCAGCCACTATAGTCCCCGTTAGTAGATATAATATAGGGGTTGTACTGGGATAATGGAAAAGAACATGGAAACTACTATTTAGGCTTTAGGGTACAGTCCCCCTTAAGTAGATAGAATATGGCTGTGGGTACATCTTTATAAGATCCCCATATACCTCATATTCTATCTACTTAAAGGGGACTATACCTTTAGTAATGGGCGAGTGTCCTCAGCTACTGCGCGCCTCTGTGCCATCTAATGTTCTGCGATCAAGGGGCAAGGCTGGTCTAGAGAGTTCAATCAAGCCTGACTTTTTTGAAAGTTTTCGTTGCTGAGCTCTTGTATTCTGGGATATTATTGTATAGTATACAATAGCATATTATGGCCTGAGAGGATGATTAGAACTAGAAAGCTGTCGCTCTCCTTCTAGTCTGACATGCAGCCTGAGAGGCTGCGCCTCTAAGCTCCTTGATTTGTTGAGACAGTTTCGATTAGATTCTCAGGAATCCATTACTATTGCTGTTATTATCATTCTTATCATTACTACTATTACTATTATTGTTAGTACTATTATTACTATTGCCCCCCCCAATTATTACTGAGTAGCTTTGGATGCTTTGTCCAGGCCCGGCAAGACGATTACGAGGTCGGCTCCTCGAGAACTGCCTTCGGCAAGACTTCTTAATTTGGGCCCTACTCTAAACTCCATAAAGGGGTTATATAGGGGATCAGAGTTTAGCTGCTATGTACATAATGCGATGCTGAAAGTCACGTCACGGCATCGTTGATCTCTCAAGTTGTTTTCTTCAAACAACAGGTCAGTAACTACAAATGCAGTAAAATTTGCTGATCCTCCAGCCCAGGAAGTGTGGCTGGAACGCAGCATTCGCTGTGCTCAGGCAGAGAACACCGGCGCATTTGGTACGTCTCATGCTCAGACCGGTAGCTCCCTGGCATCTCACATGGCACAGCATGCGAAGACATCTTTCCAGCAGACAACTTGAGAACTCATGAAAGGGGTCCCCCATAAAAACAACCATTGAAAATATTATCCAATGTTTCTTTTCCATTATCCCCATATTATACCCCTATATAACCCTTATAACAAAATAGTTTCCATTTTCTTTTCCATTGTCCCTAACCATAGGGGGAAGGCCCTTCTTGCTTTTCTTGGAAGGTTCGGTTTGGTGTAGGACAGGTGTGGTGCTCTAGAGCAGGCCGCAGGTTGTGCATTTCTCAGAGGTCGCAAGCGAGCTGGCACTCCTACGGTGAAGTATCAGGACGCGCGCAGCCGTTTCGACAACTTCCCTCGTTTTCTGAGCGAAATCACTCGGCTCTTTGTCATGCACGTTTGGATTCCGCAAGTTTGCAAGGGTAGAGTTGCTCGCAGGAGCTTCTCCTCAGCCCTCCCCGCAGCGAACAGCCAGGCCGTTCCAACACAAGGCAGGCCGGAGCCAAGCTCATGCAAGTTGCTCTCAACATCAGGTCGCCCACAACATTCCGCACTTCGTAATGTTTAGGAAGCCCAGGAAAGAACCCAACGCGTTGGGAGCTGTCTTCAAGCTGCAGCCTAGAACTGTCTTGCAATTGTGCTGCTGGCTCACCAGCAGCATTTTTCAAGCAATTGCCTTCTTAGTGCTCGGGGCCTTGGCAAATTGTTGAATATTCTATAATATACTATAATATATATATATATAATATACTATATTATATACTTGACTTCCTTGTTGGGGGAAAGAAGAGCATCTTCCAGCTTTCTCTGCTTGGGAGGCTGCCAAACGAACCTCATTGGCGGCATCTGCCAAGAACGCAAAGGCCTATATAGTTATGGGTTTAGATGTTTATAATCCCTACATAAATCACTATATTGTATATAATCCCTATAGTAACCCCTATATACATCCCTCCTGAGAGTGTTTTGAATGCATAGCCAATGCATCACTAGGCATACTGCTTTAAATTTCTCCCAAATAAAATCCAAGGCCCGGCATAATGGTTGTAGTCTCAAAACAATCCTCCTAAGAGCCAACTAAGTAGACATCAGCTCACGGTGCTTCAGGTTAAGAATCAAATTCCCCCGCCCGGGCCGCGAGCAGCAGGGGCCTCGTGGGTTTAGGCTTTGTGATCTTTGCTGAGTCACAGCGACCGAACTTGTTTGTTTTATTTGAATTTGCAGCTGTTAGTTACTGGTAGCGAGTAGGGGATGAAGGAGTAGGTTGTTGGTACGATCCAAATAGTACTTCCTAGATACTCCCTCAGTTTCGCAGTCCCTACCCAAATTCCTTAACTCCCTCCCTTAAGCCCTCAACCCTAAACCCAAATCCCTAAACCATAAAAACTCTAAACTTCCAAAACCCTAAAACCCTCAACCCTAAACCCTTAAAGCTAAAGTTTTTCTATATCCTTTCCAAGGTCTGGGGTGGCGATGCAGGGCCTGGAGGTCCAGGAGCTCTGGTCCAGGTCAGCTTTACAATGAAGCAGTTTCGAGGATTCATATGAACCATAGTCTAAGCTCCTTAATTGGGGGTTGTATAGGGGATGATATAGGGGATTACTATAGGGGGTACTAAGGGGGGATACTAGGAGTTTAGTCTACAGCTCATATGAGGGTTATGCAGGGTTTAGTGTTGAGGGTTTGGGGTGTCGGGTTTAGGCTTTGGGGTTTAGGGTTCGGGTTTGGGGTTTGGGGTTTGGGGTTTAGGATATAGGGTTTGGGGTTGAGGGTTTAAAAAGGGGGTTACATTGGGATCATATGTGGTTATCTGGGGGGAATGGGAAAGAGCGTGGAAGCTACTATGTAGGGATCTTATCCCAATAATGCTGAAAGAAAAGAAAAGAACATGGAAAATGCAATGCTAGCTGTTTTATAGGGATCAGTTGATTTTTCGTTGTCTTAAATTAGGCAACCGTTTTGGGAGCCTCTATACTATGGATTTAGTATGTTGGGGTCTGTACTGGTGGAAACCCACACTTGAAGGAGTGCAAACAATCCTTTTTGGGGAGGCTCAACAAGAAGTAATATCCGTTGTTATATCACACCCGGAAGGCGCTTTTTTTTCAATGACTTACTGTAGTCGGGTAGATGCAACAGGAGAGGAGGACTATGACATGACTCCTAAAGCTTGAACCCTAAATAGTAGTTTGAATTTTCAGTCCAGTATAACCCCAATATGCTATATATATGCTTCCATGTCCTGTTCCAGTATCCCCGTAGTACACCTACAGTACCCATATATCATACCCATATACCCCTACATAGTGCAACCCTATGTACCGCTATATAATGTATGCCATCCCTATTTAACCCTATATCACCCAATTCCAAACCCTACACCCTAAACCTTAAACCCCAAACCCTAAACTTCCGAAATCCAAAACCCTAAGCCC